TGACCCTGCTTCGGCAGGGGGTTGGACTAGATGACCCACAGAGGTCCCTTCCAACCCCTACCATTCTGTGATTCTGTGATTCTGTGATTCTGGGGCTGAGGGGGATGCTGGCCTCACCTGATGGAGACCAAGAGGTGCCCGGTGCCAGGACGAGACGGTGTGGGCACGAACGTGTGAGACTCCATTTAAACATTGGGAAAATTTTTCGCTGTGAGGATGACCGAGGGCTGGCCCAGGCTGCCCAGAGAGGTGGTGAAGTCTCCATCCCTGGAGGTGACCAAAACCCGTCTGGCCGCAGCCGTGGGCAACCAGATCTGGGGGACCCTGCCTGAGCAGGGGTTGGACTAGATGAGCTCCAGAGGTCCCTGCCAGCCTCGATGTTCCTGCGACTCTGGGATTCATCACTACCACAAAATAAGGAAATCAGGAAAAATAAGGAATATCAGGGAAACCAGAGCAAGGAGAAAGAGAATTATCCCGCAACCCACAATTATCCTGCACGGCACAGCGCCGGACCACTCTCTCGTTTTCCTCTCTGCTTTGTGCCTCCCCACGTGACACTCCACTTTTTCTTCATTAAGCTGGGCTCCAGGTACAGGTCGTTGCTGTACCACTTGCTCCCATTCTCCTGCACCACACGGTAGACAGAATTGGTCGGGGTTGGAAGGGACCTCTGTGGATCATCTAGTCCCCCCCCCCTGCCGAAGCAGGGTCACCTACAGTAGGCTGTAGAGGACCTTGTCCACGCAGGTCTTGAATATCTCCAGAGAAACAGACTCCACAACCTCCCTGGGCAGCCTGTTCCAGGGCCCCGCCACCCTCAGAGGGAAGAAGTTCTTCCTCAGGTTCAGCTGGAACTTCCTCTGCTTCAGTTTGTGCCCGTTGCCCCTTGTGCTGTCGCTAGACCATCCCCATCAGCCTGGCAACCTGCTACTCCTGCTCGGCACCGACCGCTCCGTTGCTGAGGCCGCAGTATCTGCTCCCGCACTGCAGAATCAGGCCCTGGAGCGCTCCGTTGTCACAACGCCGGAGGTAGTCGTGCAGCGACATCCCTGCCAGCTTTTCTGCATGGGTAAGAAGATCGTGTGCCTCAAAACACCAACCCCAAAAATGTCCTGCAGCCTCTGCATGGCCTCCTTGTCCTCCTCGATGAACTGGCCCAGCTCAGTTACCAGCAGCAGCGCGTAGGGGCCCGGGGAGGACAGCCTGACGCAACGAGTGATTTCTTTGTACGCCTCGCTGATGGTGGCTCTCGGATCGAAAACATTGGCCGTGTCAACGACCGTGATGTCCTCGCCGGTGCAGCGCCCTTGCGCTTGCGCACAGCTCACGGTCACCAGCTCAGTCGGAAACTTGGACTTGAACACGCGTTCTCCCAGGAGGATGTTCCTGGTGGAGCTTCTCTCTGCTCCGCTCCTCCCGACCAGGAGAAGCCTCATGCCCGAGCCCCTGCTGTCCCCGGGCAGCATGGGAATGGGAGCACGCTGGACAGGCACGGCCACGCTGCACGGACAAAAGCAGACGCACATAGCTCCTGTTAGCACCACAGCACTGCCTGCGCCAGGTCCCCGAGGTGTCCGCGTGGGCTGTCCCCACAGGAGACCCTCCCCAGGGTGGTCTGGGGGGCAGCTGGGGACACCGGTGACAACCCCCGGGCACCCTCGAGGCTCTCTCGCACATCCCACTCCCCCCCAGCTCTTCCCGCCTGCGAAACAGGCACCGAACCAGCTTCGTGCAGGCAGGGAGGCGGCAGCTCCCTCCCCACACAGCTCTTCGGGCTGCCCGGGCACGCCTGGGCTCCCTCCCTCCCCCCATAAAACCTTCCAGCCAGCACAAAGCCTCGTGCATCTCCCTCCCCTGCCCCTCCAACCCGGTACCTTCGCGCTGCGCCGCTGGAGCCGGCGCTGAGGCAGGAGTCGCCCCGGCCG